AAGGTATAACGCCGCGGAGTGCCGGTGGGTCAATTTAAAGGACGTTTAACACAGGAAAACACTTGCTCGTCGTTACCTACTTTCATGTAGCCTGCGGCAATCGCCAACGTGGTTTGGCTGCCGTAAGCATCCATGTAGTCGGCAGGCAGTAGCCTCTGGTTTATATTCTGGTTATTCCACAGAAGAGTGCTCGTTTTGTGTATATCTATGCCTTACCAGCCCCTCTTCTTTATCCATCTAGACTTATGTCGACAAACAGCAAATCGGTTTCTGCAGCGGAAATACTAGCCTGTCCGTTAACGGTCTCCCATTGGACAATCCGACTTCTTTGTGGCTGGGTTGTCTCGCGTCTGCCCTTGGGCCCTATGAAGACACGCAGGTCATCAGCGCTTACTTCATACATCCCTGTCTGTGGTACTATCCAACCCAACTGCCCGTCCTTCTACTGGGAAATAAGGGTAGGTTCAATAAAGTTAGTATATCTTGAGATTATTCCAAAAGGTGAGCCTTTTTGACTGCAAATTCATCGCGGTGAGGACGTTCGTTACATGTCCCAGTTGGAGAGGCTAGCTAGCTCCCCTGAAAAGTGACCAAGAGTTCGCCACTGGATTACTAGTGTTGTAATGTAGGTAACAGATGCTTCATATGGAAATATTGGACCCAATAATTTGCCTTACAAAAGCGGATACGCCTGGGTTGTTTACTATCGGTATTTGGAACACCCTAATTAGGAGATTGGTGTTATAGTTTGTGTGAGGTAAAAGTAGCCTAAACATGTAAAATTTGCGCAAAAATGACGTCTTAGAAAATCGTATAATTACACATTTCGTGGTCATTTGTATCATTTTGAGTATCATTATGCTAAAAATAGGTAAATTGTAGGGTTCGGGCGTTGAATGATAGCGACATTTTTTGGCTGGCCGGATTTTAGATAACGTCCGTTTCGGTGTTAAGTTACGTGCACGTGACAGCAGGTCGCCAAATCATCATGGGTTTTGGAGTTCGAGCAGCTGGTGAGATCCAGTTCTCATGTAAACGCATGTGCCTGAGAATGAGGGAATGGGCGGGGCAGGGATGTGAGCCTTGTGAACGTTGACAGAGATCCCTGGTAGCAGTTTTGCGTTTGTCCCACAATGGATGCGCTGATATTACATAAGACCAATGTGTGACGGAGGAGTTTAATTAAAGTGATGATAGTCTCTGCTGACAGTTTTCCTCGTTCTCCCGATTACTTTCGTGTTGCTAGATCTCCAAAGGTGTCTGAAAAAATAACTCGAGATTGAAAGGTACAGTCGTGTTGAAAGAAGGTGGGGCGGTTTCTTTAGCGTTCTTGATGCTTCGTAAAGGGACCTACGGCTTTGGAGCAGTTCCACTGCGACGGATACAAAGGTGCAAACTCGATTTCGTGACACGAGTGTCCAGATTCCTTTTTCGTCTTTTCACCTCCAATATCCTCCCAAGACCATCGGGATGAAATTCATGTTACTTAAGGGGTAAAGTAGGTTTGCGACAAGTTCCTGACTTTAGCCTCGACCCCACCTTATCTCTTTGGTCATTTTCGTCATGATTTAGTTGGCAGCCTACGTGTTGCAGCTTCACCACATCATAATGGACCACATTTTATAAAATTCGATATACGACAGACTTCTGAGCGACGTTGAAATAGCCAGAGGTCTAGCCCCCAGGTTCAAACCCGCGGACCAGGGGCGCGTTTGATAGGATCTTTGGCTGTACGTACCAGGATCTTCGGTCGGCCATATCACAGTCGTTGCCAGTCAGAGTCGGGTCCGTGCAAGATGACATCGCAGTCTTTCTCACCTCCAGATCAGGGTAGCACATAGCTGAAGCACCTCAGTCTATGAGTTCGAATGACGCAGCCGACAAGTTGAGTTGCTGTGTCATAAGCATAAGACAGATCCGTCGTGCCAGAACAACTATCTCTATTTACGTCTGGGTGGTCCGTGAACGTGCTCTGTAGAACTTAGACTAAGATCTTGTTAAACAAATCTGGTGGGATAAAGCGACATTAATGGACGTCGAAGATAACTCTCGGCGTCATGTGTATGGAATAGAGTTTGGTTCTACAGTAGTAGACCTGAGCAGCTAGATAGATTCAGTGATACCTCATTGTGAGGCATGATCCGCTACAAGGGATCCCAAAGAATAGGGTCCTATACGGGGGAAATCCATGGAAC